ATCGCCATTTTCATTAGCATCTTCATTCCCCTGGGCGCCTCATTACTACCGTCATCATCATCATCAACATCTTTTCATTATCATTATCACTATCGTCACAATTATTATTACTGTCATTAGCGACACAAGCAAAATATTATTATAATGTGCTAAATGTTGCCCACATCTGCATTTTCTGCAATCCCGAGCAATGGTCAGCAACAGCAGCAGCAGCAACAGCAACAGCAGCAGCAATCATCTGGCGGCGTTGTTGTGGTCACCGCAACCGCAATCGCTAACCATAACAACAACAGCAACAACAATACCGGGGTTACCGCCGACAATAGCGCCAGTAATGGTTGCGGTGGCCCAGAAACAAGCAGCAGCACCGGGGCTGGTATTTGTGGCACTAATTACACTCAGGTTATAAAGCCAACCTGTCAGGCATTCCAGGAACTCGGCGAACGATGGCCCCCAGTGATGCCGCAACCCTCGATGGCGCCGTACCCGTCGCATTCAGGCGCGGCCACTGCTTCCCCGTTCCAGTTGCTCTTTCCACCGCCGCAGCCAGAATGGCCCGGTTATCACCACCATCACCACCACCATCACATCCATCATCAGCTACAGCAACATCACCAGCAGCAACAGCAACAACAACAGCAACAGCAGCAGCAACAACAGCAACAGCAGCAGCAGCAGCTCTCACTGATGTCCTCGATCCCGCAAGCTGGTACCGCGGCGCATCACAGTCTCATGGAGCTGAAACAGGAGCCGGAACGTCCGGATGTCATTCAACGCCTTTCCACAGCTGCACCATCCTCTTGGCCCTACGCGTTTGCGCAGGATGATATGGCGCTCAGTTCGTCGCATTTGCCCGATGATGCGGATCCGGCGAGTTCCGAAGATCTGGAAGCGTTTGCGAAAACATTCAAGCAGCGTCGCATCAAGCTCGGCTACACACAGGCGGACGTGGGCCTGGCTCTGGGCACTCTGTACGGCAACGTATTTAGTCAAACGACCATCTGCCGCTTCGAGGCGCTGCAGCTGAGCTACAAGAACATGTGCAAGTTGAAGCCGCTGCTGCACAAATGGCTGGAGGAGGCCGATTCTACTAGCTCGTCGCCGAATAGCGCCTTCGAGAAAATGACTGGACAAGGTGGTCGGAAGCGCAAAAAGCGCACATCGATCGAGGTGCAGGTGAAGAATCGTCTGGAGTATCACTTCCAGAAGAATCCGAAGCCAAACGCCCAGGAAATTGCTCAGGTTGCGGTGGAGCTGCAGCTCGAGAAGGAAGTCGTACGGGTATGGTTCTGCAATCGCAGGCAAAAGGAGAAGCGAATGACACCTCAGTACGGTCAGGAAATCCTATTGAATCCGAACAGCTATCCGCCCGATGCGTTCGTTTACACCTAGCTTTGTTGAGCTTCGTTCACTGTGTTGCTTTGCGAGTACTTACTGGTCCTTTGCCTTCCTTTCTTAGCCCGATCAAGCATTTTATCAAAAAATGCCCCATTTTTTTCTTGTCTTGGTTTTTGCCAGTTTCTCGCACTTTCATTTATACGGGTGCACTTTTTTACAAACATATTTTTGTTCACAGCAGAAGATGCTTTTTCATGGGAAAGCAAAACATCCGAGGATCGCTTTTTTTCTTCCTGGGAAAAAACAACGCTTGAGCCGTCTCCGAAATGGAGGGGATGTTAGCGTAGGAGAGAAAGCAGTACCAAATGAAGATAGCAGCCAAAAATGGCGAGCAACTTCATTTAAATAATAAAATCTCGATGACCCTGGTTAGAACTGAGCTGGGGTTAATGCGTAGCGCTACAGCGTCTGTATTCAGCATATTTGACTCAGTTCTTCAAGATAACTTCCTTCATTCAGTCGCAAAGCAACATAGAAAATAAACAGGATATGATATCGTTAGTATTAATTTAAAAAATTTGTATCCCTCCAAGAAAAGCATGCACTTCGAGGGGTCAAAACGCGTAAAAAATTGGAAAATTGGAAGACTGGGTTTCCTAAAAATAAGATTTGCACTAGCGAGTAGTTTGTGGCATTATTCCTTCTCGGTGATTTTATTCAAATTGCAGAAATTCTCGACTTTTCCACACTTACAAATAATTTTTTGTTGCTATTTCGAAATTTTTTGGCACATATTGTGAAAATATTAAGCTTAGCGAATTTTTAATTTTTTTTCTTCTGGACATGTGGGAACATTCCAGAAACATCACTGACATGGGATCCACACT